TGTCGTACAAAGCATAAACGCATTATGAGCAGCGCATTCACAGCTACGGGTAATACTGTGACAAGCGAGGACACGAGGCAATGGAACGGTACATACGACATTAACACGAGCCAATGAAAAAGTATATACGGTATATGTACGCATGCAGTACAGCATACAGCAGCAGCAGCATACAGCAGTGACATACAGCAGCAGCAGCAGCAGCATACAGCGTTCAGCAATAGCAGTGGAAGAATTGCGGAGCTGCAGACCTAGATAGACAGATATATCATGTCTATTGTTTCAGCATTTGAATTGCGCAGCTTGTGTTGGGAAACAGGATCGCTGACTGAGAAAAACATCTCACATCTCACAGCACAGCAACAACAGGTGGTATACACAGCGTGCACTTAGTCGCCAGGCAGCCTAGGGATGCTTTGTTGGCACTACAATCCTTACATGGCACTGCGGGGCACTGCGTGATGTTGTCGAGGTTGCAACTGGTTGTGCGCGTGTGCATGTGCTTTTTACACACGTGGTGTGTCGATCTTCGCTTCTCGAATTGTCTCTGCTGTTGCTGTGGCGTGTAGACTGCTTACCCGACGAAGGACGGCACCTTGCGACCGACACCGAGAGACGGGATGGTACCACCCGCACTTGAGATCCAGCCACCCGCACTTCAGCTCTAGCCACATGCACTTCAGCTCCAGCCACATGCACTTCAGCTCCATCCTTGAATGCTGTGTTGCTTCGTCTGCAAAAGTGTGCGTCATATACTGGACGCCAACTCGGCCAGGACATTAGTAATAGTAGCACTATGCATGCCAGTATGAAGAAACCAAGGCATTCCGACCTCCAGAAACGCAACTCGAGGTCACTGATCTTCTTCTCCAGAGCTGTTGTGTTAGCAAGTTGTACTGCCTTGTGTCAGGGAGTTGTACTGTCTTCATTGGCCGTTGTGCTACTCCTGTTGAATATGATGCCCTGGCGAGTATGAATCTCCTCGTTATCCCGAGCAGTCGCTTGTGCAGTCCCTGAAGCTGCTGCTGGCGGTGCTGCTGGTGAGGATGTTGCTGTCTGTGGCTGTGAGTTTCTGTGGCTTGGAGCAGCCAATGTGACTCGCAGCTCATGTTTTAGATCGGTTCCAGTGGAAGCTGCAGCCGCTTTGACCCTGGTGTGTTCGACGTTGCTCGTCCATGGGCTGTTGTTGATGGCGCCCTCGTCGTTGTTCAGCTTACTCGCCAGCGGTTGCATCTCAGCACAGCCGTCGGCGTTGCTCGCGCGCACAAGCATGGCGTGTGGTAGTGCCGCTGCGGTACTCGGGTGTTGCGCGCCTTTGCCACGCCTGCAGCTGCTGGCCGTGGTGGTGGTGATGGTGATGATGGCGATGGCGGCGGCACTGGTGCGGAGTAAAACTCAGTTGCTAGCCGCAGCTCCGCCATCTCCGCCAGTGAGCTTGGAGTAGTACTGGCTCCATGCTCAGTGCCAGCAAGTGGCAATGCTAGCACACCACTGGACACCACCCTGTAAAGGAGCAGCAGAGCCAGCACGGTCAGCTGACTCTGAGTCATCTCTCTGCTGGCCATCTTCAAGTTGACTTGCGCTTGAGTCCTTCAGTTGACAGCAATGATCCAGTGTTCTTTAGTAGTAGTTGAAAACCGTTCTGCTCTCTGATTAACCTACAGAGTTTTCGTATGCCATGTACAGACCGTGCTGCTGTCTTTTATTGCATGTAGTGTGAATGTAGTTTGAATGTAGTGTGAATGTAGTGTGAATGTAGTGTGAATGTAGTGTGAATGTAGTGTGAATGTAGTGTGAATGTAGTGTGAATGTAGTGTGAATGTAGTGTGAATGTAGTGTGAATGTAGTTTGAATGTAGTGTGAATGTAGTGTGAATGTAGTGTGAATGTAGTGTGAATGTAGTGTGAATGTAGTGTGAATGTAGTTTGAATGTAGTGTGAATGTAGTGTGAATGTAGTGTGAATGTAGTGTGAATGTAGTGTGAATGTAGTGTGGATGTCACACAACAGCCTCTTTTACGGGCAAAGGCAACACAATATGATGAGAAACCAGGGTATGAGAGGAAGAAAATAACACACGGGTGTGGAAAAATATGAAGTGTGAATGTAGTGTGAATGAAGTGTGAATGAAGTGTGAATGTAGTGTGAATGTAGTGTGAACAGTACTACAATGTAGCATGTGTATCGTGTCACTTACGTGCACAGACAGTGCAGTATGAGATACTCATGATGTGTTCACACAGCTTACCAGTGTGCTGCTGAGGTGTGATGCGTGGTGCTTCTCGCATGTGATGTGTGGTGCTTCTCGCGTGCTTCTCGCGTGTGATGCGTTAGATCTCATGATCACGATTGTGATCTATTTTGAACGTGAAGTCGAGTCCATCGGTTCTCAGTCTGTATGGTTCGTAGTGGCACACTCACATCAGACCCCTTGTGACTTCTGTCTACTCATGTCTCTGGAGGTTGCTGGACTTCAAAGTGCACTTTAAAGTGTTGCTTAATAGCAGCCTGGAAGCGGAAATTAGCCAGCCATTCTGTAAAATTGACTGGCTAGAAGTCCACATGTATCACTACTGCAAGAGATCTGTCGTGAATTGCTGCCAGGATTATGCTGTGTGTACCGATGGTATGCTGAGCGTTACACGACTCATTAGCATGTTCACTATGCCCATCTTTCCATTGGCCACAACTCTAGCACAACCAATTGTTTTTTATGTAAATTCTTCAGATGGCACACGTGTCGTACAAAGCATAAACGCATTATGAGCAGCGCATTCACAGCTACGGGTAATACTGTGACAAGCGAGGACACGAGGCAATGGAACGGTACATACGACATTAACACGAGCCAATGAAAAAGTATATACGGTATATGTACGCATGCAGTACAGCATACAGCAGCAGCAGCATACAGCAGTGAAATACAGCTGCAGGAGCAGCATACAGCGTACAGCAATAGCAGTGGAAGAATTGCGGAGCTGCAGATCTAGATAGACAGATATATCATGTCTATTGTTTCAGCATTTGAATTGCGCAGCTTGTTTTGGGAAACAGGATCGCAGACTGAGAAAAACATCTCACATCTCACAGCACAGCAACAACAGGTGGTATACACAGCATGCACTTAGTCGCCAGGTAGCCTAGGGATGCTTTGTTGGCACTACAATACTTACATGGCACTGCGGGGCACTGCGTGATGTTGTCGAGGTTGCAACTGGTTGTGCGCGTGTGCATGTGCTTTTTACACACGTGGTGTGTCGATCTTCGCTTCTCGAATTGTCTCTGCTGTTGCTGTGGCGTGTAGACTGCTTACCCGACGAAGGACGGCACCTTGCGACCGACACCGAGAGACGGGATGGTACCACCCGCACTTGAGATCCAGCCACCCGCACTTCAGCTCCAGCCACATGCACTTCAGCTCCATCCTTGAATGCTGTGTTGCTTCGTCTGCAAAAGTGTGCGTCATATACTAGACGCCAACTCGGCCAGGACAGTAGTAATAGTAGCACTATGCATGCCAGTATGAAGAAACCAAGGCATTCCGACCTCCAGAAACGCAACTCGAGGTCACTGATCTTCTTCTCCAGAGCTGACAGTCGTGCTGTTGTGTTAGGAGGTTGTGCTGTTGTGTTAGCAAGTTGTACTGTTGTGTCAGGGAGTTTGCTGTCTTCATTGGCCGTTGTGCTACTCCTGTTGAATATGATGCCTTGGCGAGGATGAATCTCCTCGTTATCCCGAGCAGTCGCTTGTGCAGTCCCTGAAGCTGCTGCTGGCGGTGCTGCTGGTGAGGATGTTGCTGTCTGTGGCTGTGAGTTTCTGTGGCTTGGAGCAGCCAATGTGACTCGCAGCTCATGTTTTAGATCGGTTCCAGTGGAAGCTGCAGCCGCTTTGACCCTGATGTGTTCGACGTTGCTCGTCCATGGGCTGTTGTTGATGGCGCCTTCGTCGTTGTTCAGCTTACTCGCCAGCGGTTGCATCTCAGCACGGCCGTCGGCGTTGCTCGCGCGCACCGGCATGGCGTGTGGTAGTGCCGCTGCGGTGCTCGGGTGTTGTGCCTTTGCCACGCCTGCAGCTGCTGGCCGTGGTGGTGGTGATGGTGATGATGGCGATGGCGACGGCACTGGTGCGGAGTGTAATTCAGCTGCTAGCCGCAGCTCCGCCATCTCCTCCAGTGAGCTTGGAGGAGTACTGGCTCCATGCTCAGTGCCGGCAAGTGGCAATGCTAGCACACCACTGGACACCACCCTGTAAAGGAGCAGCAGAGCCAGCACGGTCAGCTGACTCTGAGTTATCTCTCTGCTGGCCATCTTCAAGTTGACTTGCGCTTGAGTCCTTCAGTTGACAGCAATGATCCAGTGTTCTTTAGTAGTAGTTGAAAACCGCTCTGCTCTCTGATTAACCTACAGAGTTTTCGTATGCCATGTACAGACCGTGCTGCTGTCTTTTATTGCAAGTAGTGTGAATGTAGTTTGAATGTAGTGTGAATGAAGTGTGAATGTAGTGTGAATGTAGTGTGAACAGTACTACAATGTAGCATGTGTATGGTGTCACTTACGTGCACAGACAGTGCAGTATGAGATACTCATGATGTGTTCACACAGCTTACCAGTGTGCTGCTGAGGTGTGATGCGTGGTGCTTCTCGCTTGCGATTTGTGATGCTTCTTGCGTGTGATGTGTGGTGCTTCTGGCACTTGTGCACAGACTGTTAGCTTGTGTGTGTGTGTGTGTATGGGTGAAAAAAAAAAAAAAAAAAAAAAAAAAAAAAAAAAAAATGAAAAGACCAAAAATAGGGATTCACTGGCCAGAAAAAGTCACTTCAAATAGCTGTATGGTGTAGACCAGGCTGAATAGTGACGGTCAATTCTTCAGCCTTGCAAGCTGTTGAATGGTGCAATCCCAGCACAAGTTGCTATGGCATCTGCCGTAGCATTGCTATCATCGCCTCCGGCGATGGGCGTCAAAGGTCAAAGGTCAAAGGTGTGTGTGTGTGTCCCATATGGTGCAGTGGTATGTGCAGCGATTTCCAATCGATAGATTGCGGGTTCGATTCCCGACGATTATGGTCACACACGTCTTTCTTCTCTTTTTCAGACTCTTCCTGACTTTTCTTTCATTCTCCTGGGTGGTTACCAACAGCCAGTGCATGCCGGAGTATGTGGTGTGATGGTGGTGTGATGTGTGTGCGGGGAAAAAAAAATTAAAAAGACCAAAAATAGGGATTCACTGGCCAGAAAATGTCACTCCAAATAGCTGTATGGTGTAGACCAGGCTGAATAGTGACGGTCAATTCTTCAGCCTTGCAAGCTGTTGAATGGTGTAATCCCAGCACAAGTTGCTATGGCTTCTGCCGTAGCATTGCTATCATCGCCTCCGGCGATGGGCGTCAAAGGTCAAAGGTCAAGGTGTGTGTGTGTGTGTGTGCGCGCGTGTGCGTGCGTGTGTGCGTGTGCATGAGTCGGAGTGATGGAAATTGCGCCTCTTTCCCTACAACATGTAGTGCTGCTCAATGAAATCCTGCTGCAAGTGCTAGTTAGCTGTACGAGCTTGTTGTTAGTGTGGGTTACTGTCCAGCAGCCCCAGGCCCTAGCCCTGTGAACATTGATTGGTTGGTGTGCACTGACTGGTGTGCTAGTTAGCGCCGCCTATCTCTGTGCTGCACTGGCCTGTGTGCGCTGGCGTGTGGGCTAACGTCAGCTAGCGCCCGTGACTGTGCAGCCCTGTCCCTGTGTATGCTGTTCTGTGTGCACTGGTGTGTATGCTTGTGTGCACTGGTGTGTACGCTTGTGTGCACTGACTGTGACATGCTACAGGTGCGCTTGGTGAAACCTGACCCAATGTGGAAAGCTGGCGTCCTCAACTTGCACGGCGCTTGACGCCCTGGAAGTGGAATGAATGCGGCTGGACGTACACATGTAGACGTACAATGATGTAATCGGAACTAGTCCAGGGCACCAGCTTTGCACTTTGGGTCGGATTTCAGTGAGCGCAACTGTATTACGGCCACATAGCGCTGATTATAAGGATGGCATCACTAGCTGACTTTTGGCGCATTGCAGATCTAAAAACAGTGCAGCACCTGTTAATTTTCGTCCCACATGTTTTTATGCACTTTGTAGTATGCCCTTCATCATTATGAAGCAGGTCTACTCCAGTGATGATTTCGGCAGCGTACCTTTGAAGGCTGTTGATAGTGTATAGTTTTCCTTTCAGTGAAGAGTTAGATGTTTGTATGACGTGGCGTGTGTGTGTGTGTGTGTGTGTGTGTGTGTGTGTGTGTGTGTGTGTGTGTGTGTGTGTGTGTGTGTGTGTGTGTGTGTGTGTGTGTGTGTGTGTGTGCCCATGTCAGTGACCATGTGATATATCTGATGCATAACTTCCTCCCCCCAATGGGCTCAAATAGTAAGGCTGATCGGATTGATCTGCCACTGCTTAGTATTGTCACATAGTGACTGTGTTGAATAATGGGAATGGAGTTGAGCTATCGTGCCAAGTAAATTGACTATTGCTGCTGCTGCTGGTCCATGCGCATGTATGTGTGTGTGTGTGTGTGTGTGTGTGTGTGTGTGTGTGTGTGTGTGTGTGTGTGTGTGTGTGTGTGTGTGTGTGTCTGTGTGTGTGTGTGTGTCTGTGTTTTCAGGCTCTCGGTCCAGCGCCCGTGTGGTGTTCGTTCCTCGACAGTTTAACTGAAGAACTGGAGGAGAGTCCGGAGCCTACTGGTAGGCTAATAGTGTGCTGTGTCTGCCATTGCCAGCTAGATGCTGTTTGGCTATGCGAAACTGCCCCATCTATAGCTGGCTGTCAGGCGTTTAAAGTTTTCTGAATGTTGAACCAGTCTTTTGTTACCGCTGTACATTATTGCACGGCTTTACATGGTTTTTAAAATCAAGTGAAATAGTAACGTCATCACCACCTAAAGCAGCAGCAACAACGACGACAACAACAACAATCTCTTATTGGCGATGGCGCCATTGTGAGAATAAAGAATTCAAAAAACTAAAACAACAACAACAACAACACCACATATACTCTCGCTGCAACCTGCTAGCAGCGTGCAACCTTCGTATAATTTACGTCGCTCTCGTACTTGACACTTGCCAACTCTGCGGACTGATCGCTGTCTCCATTCTCCCCTGTACAAGGCCCTTCATTACTTTAATTGCTTGCCCACCCAGCTTCGCGAAATCCCTTCTCGTACTCTCTTCAAATCCCAGATATCCCTGCTGTTGCACAACTCTGTATGCTCGTGTAGCGACCACCCCTGCCCGTACACTTAAGTAGTCATTAACCCCTAGGCTCTGCCCACCCAATTCTTCCTCACTCTTTCTCCTTTCTTACACTATTATCTCTTATTGGCCACTGGCTATCGTGAGAATAAAGATTTGAAACAACAACAACAACAACAACAACAACAACAACAACAACAACAACAACAACAACAACAACAACAACAACAACAACAACAACAACAACAACAACAACAACAACAGCAACAGCAACAGCAACAGCAACAGCAACAGCAACAGCAACAGCAACAGCAACAGCAACAGCAACAGCAACAACAACAACAACAGCAGCAGCAGCAGCAGCAGCAGCAGCAGCAACAACAACAACAACAACAACAACAACAACAACAACAACAACAACAACAACAACAGCAGCAGCAGCAGCAACAACAACAACAACAACAGCAGCAGCAGTCAACACATAAATCGAACGTGGAGTCTGTCCTGTGCTTGATTTGCTTGTTATTGAGTTGTTGTTCTTCTTCTCGCTCTATTGCAGTGTACGATGACTACAAGTTCTTGACTAAAACAGAACTGGAGAACTATGGTAAGTAGATTGTAGTTATGTGTGCTGCTGGGCTGTGTGCATGTTTATGGTCGCCCGTGTGCCTTTATTTTGGCATACTGTAGTGCCGCGTATAAAAGCATGACCTGTATAGAAGCAACACTCGAATAGAAGCCGATTTTCCAAAGCGTGCCGTGACACAGAAGCATGTTTTGAATAGAAGCACATGTACTTGCACACTACATGTGTGACAATGTGCACTGCACAGTGTAGGCTGAAGATGTTGACATGTAGAAGCATGTTTTGAATAGAAGCATAACCTGAATAGAAGCATGGTTTGAACACCGGCTTATACGGCTGTAAGCACCTGCTTTTATACGCGACATTACGGTACTTTTCGTAGCCGATACTTCAAGTACTTGTGTTTTGTAATGTTTTAGGGGTGAAACAATTACTGAGTATACCGAATACTGGAGTACTCGCTCGGGGTTTTTCAAAATATTAAATATAATATATTATTATTAAATAATCGTACTCGGAATAAATCAGAGTACTCGTTCATACATGGTACATGCATTTACCACCGAAATCTGCAATTTCAGAGCAGCAGTCAGTTGATACTGATGTGCAGACTGTGTGGGGAACATTGGTTCACGAGTAGAGAGAGCCCAATTGACCCGCCAATCAATATACCCGAGAAAAATGACTGCTACCCGGATCAATCAGGCTTGTATCCTGTGATTTTAAGGCCCTTGGTGTGCAATTTTTAGGAGATGAAGAATACTCGAATATTCGATCGGAGAAAATCAGAGTACTCGAACTCGGGATCTCAGTGCCAACTTTCACCCCTACAAAATTAAGCACATCAATAAGTCAGTGCTCAGGGTGTTGATCAGAACGGTTTGCATGGAACACACTGGTAAACTTGAGCTGCCTGACAAGTGGCATGCTGGATGACTGAACGCCGGATAGGTGACACACGACTGTATATGTATATGTATATGATTGTGTAGCTGTTGGTGTGTACTCGAGTAGTTACTTAGGCGCCATCTGGCATTATAGCTAACTTTCACGGACCGAAAGAGTTTGGCTACAGCCCGCCTCACCTACCCACCCACCTACCTACCCACCATCTGAAGCATAAAGATATGATTGTATTGATTGATTGAAACCCGGTACACAAGACAAGAAGACAAGCCCGTGTAAACACTGCAATTGAGATACCATTGAGATTGCGAGGGTATGGTGTTGAATATTCATCTGAAGATGGGTGAATAATTCTACTGCTTTTGCTCATCTACTAGTGCCGTTATTAACATTGCTGTCATTATTGTTGATGTTGTCGTTGCTCAGGCCTGGATCATCTTATTGGCTCCAATCTCGTCCGGCAGTCCCTTCATGGTTTCTTTATCGATATTCGCCTTTACCAAAAGGTATTTTTATAGCAGGTCTTTCTCGGTCTCTCGGGTCCTCTGTCTCCCTGTCTCTCCCTTCTCTAGCTGGCTGGCTTTCTCTCTCTCTCTCCCTCTCTCTCTCTCCCTCTCCCTCTCTCCCTCCCTCCCTCCCTCTCTCTCTCTCTCTCTCTCTCTCTCTCTCTCTCTCTCTCTCTCTCTCTCTCTCTCTCTCTCTCTCTCTCTCTCTCTCTCTCTCTCTCCCTCCTCTCTCTCCTCTCTCGCCCTGTCTGTCTCTCTCTCTGTCTCTCTCTGTCTCTCTCCTCTCTCCTCCCTCCTCTCTCTCTCCCTCCTCTCTCTCTCCCTCTCTCTCTCTCTCTCTCTCTCTCTCTCTCTCTCTCTCTCTCTCTCTCTCTCTCTCTCTCCCTCTCTCTCTCTCTCTCTCACACACACACACACACACACACACACACACACACACACACACACACACACACACACACACACACACACACACACACACACACTAGTATGGTTTGTGATTGTGTTGCTGCGAGTATGCCAGTAAACTCAGGCATATACTCTTCACTCTGTGCTGCTATGCTGCACTTTTTGTTTCTCTGACTCCTTCTCTCTGTCTCTCTCCCCCTTCTCCTATTGTGCAGGCAAAGAGTCTCATGCAGCCCTTCTCCTACAAGGACTTCCACAAGAAGGAGATCTCCAAGAAAATGGAAACAGACCGGAGCAGTCGTTTGCAACTGCAGGTAAGAAGCACTTGATCAAGCTGCTGCTTGTAGTTGTGGCTCATCCTTGTATCCAGG